TTTAATTACACTGTCATCATTTACTACTGTCCAAAGAAGATATTTTCCTGGTATATTTTTGTCACTTGATTAATGTTATGTCAATGTATCTATTACAAAATTCTATTTTTGTGAGTTCATAACATAATCATAAAAAAATCCCTCTGCACTGAAATTTGGCATAGGAAGTTTCAAGTTAAAGACTATTTGTGATGCCAAACTTTGTTCCACTACCATCACCAAAATAAAGCTATTAAGATACTGATTACTAGGGTATACAAATTGAATAGATGGGAATCCATCAAAATTTGAGGAGTAAACAGGAAGTATACACAAAGTTGCTCAATAATTTTCACTAGGCTTTTTGATAGGTATGATTTTATTGCATCTAATAAATACAATTGGGGATTTTATAAAGTATTTGATAGGTGCTATGAGTAAATGTATCTTTAGTCAAGGCACTGATGATAAAACATTAACAAAGTGATGTGGATGATCTCTAGTGAATTTTTCCACAAATAAATAATTAAAATAATAAATATGAACCCTATAGAAGAAAACAGTGAAGGAAAATTTATAAAGAAAAGGGAAAACAAAGTTTAACAGCAGGTTCTAAAATTACACTGAGAGAAATTTAAAACATGAAAGCAGGAAGATGGTGCAATGCCAATGAGACCCAAGTCCAAATAGTAACAATGTGAAAAGCTATACTGTGATAGGTACTAAACGAGAAGTGAGAAATTAAATAATTTTCAGTTGTGATATTCACTTAAATTTTGTATATCTTCTTTCTTGAGAAATTTGAAAGACTCTGAACCAGTGTTTCCCTAACCAGGTATCTTGGAACCACATTTCTCTAAAATGCTCTCCTGGGGAGAAAGTACTCCACTCTTAAGAGAACTCAGTAACATGTAAAAGCCCTGAAAAGCACAGCAAAGAAAAATGATAATTTTTTCCAAACTCTTGACCATGGAATCTAATTTTATGTGGCACCTGCTACAAAATCTTCTCCTAGAAAATCAGATCAGATTATTAGAAATATTAGATTTTGAGATGAGTTTAGTATGTTTGAAAAATCGTTTCGCAAATAGGCCATATTTCTTCTTTCATATAGGAAGGAGTTGGGACTTGCTTTCTTTAAAGCCTCTTCCAAATACAAAAAACTGTATTATTCCAAAACGCTTAACAGCAGGGTTGACATTCATGTCCCTGCTTGTTTTTTTAGAAAAATTGGTACCAGGTCAAGTAAGTGCTTATAAAACCACTGCTTAGACAAAATGTATGTAACCGTCTGAATATATTCTTAATTATGTATAGATTTTTAATGTGCAAATATTCCCTGAGTGAATTATCTGCTTAGGGGATATTTTCATTGACACTTGTAGTCTCTTGGTCTCTTTGAATGTGTCTAACTATACTAAAAAGATAAATTTAAATTATTTTCTATGTAACTCATTCTCTTTCTCCTTTCTATTAGCATGGATAATCTAGAATTCATGGTATTATGGATTCTTAAATGTCAGAGATTGTAAAGCTGTCTTGCTTATTATAGTAAAAACTTCATTAAGAGCTATCATGTATTCAAAGTAGTGTGTAATTCAAAGCAGCTGCACATCCAGCTCCCCCTCTCCAGATGTACTATTGTCCTTTGAATAAAAACATCAGATAATCTAACGACTCTTTAATTTCAAGTCTGTTTCTAAGTGCCAGGCATTTCAAGGTAACTATTCTTTAATAAAGTTATTACAGCCAGCCATCAAACCCATCCAAACTGATGCTTTCCCATTGTCCCATGTGTTTTACAGGAATGGCCCCATTGAAATGATCATTCAGCCCTTAATTATATATTTCCCAAAGACTTGCATTTTAGCCTTATACTTCAGAAACATGTCAAGTGATAATTCCTTATTTTTAAACGATTTTGGTCATAGTAGGAAAGAGTTATTGAAGGAAAACATTCACTTTTGTGACCAGACTTCCTCAGTTTTCTTTTATCTATGAAGTCTGTGATTTTTGTAAAAGGTGACACATATCCACTGAAATGCAATCTTTTTGTAGTTATGTGTTATAACTTAAAATAATGATAGCTTCCTAATGAGAATATGTGTCAGTTGCTTAAGAGGTTAAACTTATGATTAAGAAAAATATGATGAAGTGATTATGGGAAAAATGAGAAACTAATGAACACAAAGTATGTGTCTTAAAGGATCAAGCCAGGAGAAAATCCCATTTAAAATCTTCTTTTCTGTACATAGTAGCCAAGGATAACTTAAACTAAGGTTGAAATAAGAGCTGATTTCATATCCCTCTTGTCTTCCTTCAAGAGGGTGTGTTTTTATAAAGCTGAACTTCTCTGTCATCAATAATTTTGTATATTACCTTTTACAAAGGGAAAGATAAAACCTTTATGTAAACTCTTACACATCACAGAAAAACTTACGAGTGTTCCAAACTTTTGGGTTTGGCGCACTATCTGCATAGCGTTGAGGGACGAGAAAAGGGGTTAGCAGAAAGTGTATTTAGGATGATTGCCGCCCACCATCAAGTAATGGTTTAAGTAGAAAGTAATCAGAGGGAGACCACAGCAGCTAAATTTCAACCAAAGATATTCTAGGTTTAGAACAATAAATAATTTTAATCAGGTATGTTCCAAGGAGCAAATAGAGCTCTAAGGCTGTAACTCAGCCTGAATAAGCACTAGAAAGTTTGCCGGATCAGCAGCCCCTCCACATATACAGCGTATCACCTGACCTTCTGTTAAAATCTGTAACATTGTTGGTACAGAAAAGCCCATATGTTGTGAAACCTAAACACTACGGACTAAAAAACACATTTATTAATGCAGACAGCATCTTTCACCCATATCAGAGCATAGGTCATTAGATGAAGGGTGTTACGGAAATGCTGGTATGGGTAGAGGAGAGGGACCCTCACGAATGCCTTAGCACCTTCCTGAAGTCCTGCCTTAGCAGAGCCAGACTGCCTTATAATGAGGTCTTTTTAGTGCATTGGTAACTAAACACTCTTGGAAGGTGTCCAAAGTGAACCACCTCTCCAGGAGGCTCCAATGTAGTAACATGACACTTAGCTTCCTCAAAAAACAGTGTCTACATTTGATGAATAAGTCATTAAGATAGCCTCTAGGATGCTAGACTACTTTTCTTATCAGGGCACACAGCCTTGTATACATGCTTCAAGCTGCAATTCATCATTTAAAGGGAACTTCTGGCATCTGTATCAGAGTTTCTCATTTAATAGTATTAGACTACAGTGAGGCTGATGAGGGACACTCTGAAATTATAATGTACTCAATGAGTTGAGGCCAAATAGTACATGGGTCTGAGTTATTCAAATCCTTAGCCATCTCCCACTTATAGTTCACTCAGCCTTAAACAAATGTACAAAAAAACTACATAATATGCATGAATGAAACAAACTTGCATTGTACCTCCAAATTTTGTAATTCATAAATAATGAAACTTGTTGATACAAAAAATACTATTCATCTCTTGGGTGCCCCAGTGACTCCCTAGGAATATTACCAAGAAAATCAGTATCCAGCTAAGAGTGAGTTGGGGGTCTTCATTATTGCCACTTGCCATACCTGCCCGACTTCCTTCCTCATGCCACCCTCACCCTGCTCCTTCATGGAGCTCTGCTGTCAGAGCTGCAATCCAGTAAACAGGGCTTTCCCTGGTGTGGCCCGCTGTCAGGACAGCCTCCTCAAGTGACTGGCACACTGTGGATAACCCAGAGCAGGTTTCTGTTTCCTCAGCAGAGGCAAACTGCTTACAGATTTTGCTCATGCTTTTAAGAAGAAAGTGAAATCTGGCTCAGCTCAGACTCAAGCTAAAGACTTCTGCATTAGAAAGCATAATTCACATTTATTGTAAATGTCATTACGCCTATGAGCTCTGGAGTGTATTTGCAGTGTCAGCCTAGGCTTTCCTTGATGGATGCATTAGTTTTCCTCTTTCCAGGAGTCCTACATATTAAAGCGTTGGGAGATTTCTTTCTAGTGTTTCTGACAGAATTGATAGAGCATGAAGCCTGGTCTCCTTACTTGAAGATTGTTGGCTATTTTTCAACAGTTCACTGAAGACAAGTTTTGCAGTTACATTTCCCTTTACCATGAATGTAGTGAACAAAAAAGCCGACTGCATCCTCGGTGCATATAGACCGAGTTAGTGTCCAAAGAAACCTTCCCTCAAGCTGTTAGCACAAGGGAGACAGGTTGTTAGTATAAGTTACTTGTTTCACCACAGAGGCCAGGAGAAACCTTGTTAAGTCATGAATTTCAGTCTGTGTGTTGAAAAATGGGATGAGCAGATTTTCATCGGCAGATTTCAAGAGGTGTTTACATTCACGTCTGCTCCTCCACACCCCCAACCCCTCCCAGGGTGGATGGCACAACCGCTGTTTGTCCAGATGGGTTTTAAATAATCCCAACACTCCGAGCACCTGGTTTAGTTTGTGTGTTTGCCACCAAGGGACTATCAAGTAGAAAGTGTCAAATACAGCAACACAGAGGACTGGAGTAAGGGGATGCGACGTCTGGAGAAGCGACTGTCTAAGAGGTGTGGGGAGGTGGTCTAGTTCAAGTTTGACTCCCCTCTCTGGTGACGTGGGGTTGGCATAAAATGACATCTGCTTCTGGGTAAATATGGCTAAATTTCAGTCCGAGGGAATTACTGTAGACCAACTTAAGTATCAGCTGAAGGTAACCCAGAAGTGCTCCAGACACCCAGGGCAGGGGTAGCCCCTTTCCTTTCTCCCCGCAGCTCCTCTAGACGATGCTCTCCGCAGCCCGGCGCCCTTCTCTCCACTCTTCCTATACTTCGGACTCTCAAATTTGGCTTATTGGCTAGCGAAACGCGCGATGTGGGGCTGGGTGGGCAGCAACGGAGAGGGAGGGACGGTCTCCAGCTAGCACTAAAGAGCACTGGGCAGCCGAGGAAGCTGTGGGGGCCCCAGGACAAACCTGCAGCGGGAGCGCGGAAAGGGGCGCCTCGGGCACTCACCTGCTGCTCCAGCTCGAAAGCTGCGAACTGTGTTTCCTTCGCGCAGGGGCCGCAAGCCCCGCTCCGAGGACCCTGGTGTCTCTGCCGCCTCGGCCCTGCCGCCGCCGCTGTACCTGTCATAGAGCCGCAGCATGTGCTCTGACACCTTGTCGTGTGGCTGCAGCACGGGGTCAAAGCCACCACCTGACGGGCGCTCTCCTGGCACAACCCTGTAGAGCTCCGGGAAACGCTGCTTCAGCCTCTCTCCCAGCGTCAGGCTCCCGCACAAGCAGCCCAGCCACAGCCAGAGCAGCCTGCGCGCCTCAGCCATGGCGAAGGGCCCGGTGCGGCGCGTCCGCTCCCTGCGTCGCCGGGGGACAATCCGAAGGCGCGAACAACCGGCAGCAAAGCCGAGGGTAGAACTCCGAAACTCCAAAGAAGCCGGGGCGAGGGCGCCGGGAACCCCGGACACCGCCTGAGCAAGACAGCGCCAAGCCCCACTTTCTGCGCTGGCCGCTGGAAGACCGGCAGGTGGGCTCCTCCCGGGCAGCGGCGCGGACCCCACGAGCGCTGGGCGCTGCAGCCGCCCTTCTTGCTCCTACGCTGAGGAAGAGCTGAAGTCGCGCCGTGTGTGGCCGGGGTGTTTGCAGGGTCTGTCTGTAACCTCCGTCCCCGCTTTATTTTCCGGACACCCCGGGCCCAAGCGGCCCAGCTGGGGACAGGGACTAGCGCTGCGTCGGGCGCAGGGCCGGAACGGTGCGCCCAGAGGTCCGGAGGCGCTCGCTGGCCTTTTCCAGGGATTGGAGCAGCCGCGGAGTGGCCGGTCGGAGTTTTGAGTGTGAACGTGTGTGTGTGTGTGTGTGTGTGNAGAGAGAGAGAGAGAGAGAGAGAGAGAGAGAGAGAGAGAGAGAGAGAGAGAGAGAGAGAGAGACTGACTTGGTTCTCTCTGATATGTCCAGTCCGCAACCAGTCTCGCCCGCGCCCTCGCCAGCAGCGTGGACCGTGCTGTAGCCAGGAGAGAGGGGAAGGGGAAAGTAACCAGCACACCAGCAGGGGGAGGGAGAGCTGAGGAAGTAGGGGTGGGGTGGTGATGGAGAGAAAGAGAAGATTGAAGAAGAAGGAATGGGTAGGATGGACGTTAAAAAAAAAAAAAAACCCTTCAGGAACTTTGGCTGTCAGGAGCGCAGGGGAAAATAGAGTCCAACAAAATCAAGACGTGAGCACCGTCCTCGCTGCCTTTCCTTGGGCCTCTCCTGCTGCAGGTCTCCGGCACCTGCTCCTGGCTGCCACCCGCTCCTGTCTGAGAGCTTACCCATCACAGCTCCTTCTCTTCTGAATCTTCACTTTGCATTTCCCTCAGGAGAGAAATATATGAAAGTCAATCCCATCTTAACAACAAATAAATGAACAAACAAACACACCACAAACACCCACCCCACCCTTCATTCTCCCTCAAGTTTTCTCTGCAGGATAGTGGGCGGTGGTCAAACCCAAGGGCTTCTGGGAGACCCCGGAGGCCAGGGCAGGCTCTTCCAGTTGCTAACTTGGAGATCCTTACTCACCTTTCTCTTCTTGGCTGAAAAATGGAGATGAAGTTCCTAGCTAACATTTTCCCCCACGCTTATCATGCCTTGGGCATTCATTGTTCTATATATTTCATGTGTATTAGCTTTAAAGAATTTTCACAAAGAAGCCTATTTTACAAGGAAACTGAGGCAGAAGGACACTCAGAGATGGCAAAGGTAAACTCCAAACTCAGGGAGTCTGAGTTCTGAGCTCAAGCCCTTAATCACCACAGTATTAATAATGAAATTAGTATTTAAACTGAAGTTTCAATGTGACAATTCATGCAAATATTCTTAGGACAGTGTCTGGCCTGGTGCAGTAAAGACCCCAGTAAATGTCTGTTGCAGCCATCAGTTCCCTGTGTGGGAACTGTAGTGGGTTCATAGAAAAGGAGATAGGCTCGGGGACCACACTGGGCTTCCAAATCAGTTTCTTTTTTGAAGGTGAATCATACATGCCTATTAGAGGTTTGTTTGGATGAAATCAGAAAACAGTGCTAAAATGACAGGCATGTTACTAGCCTTTAGGAGGGCTCAATCCCTTTTTATCCCTAATTCATCTCAAATGTAGACTACAGACTTCTCAACCCACTGAGGTTTGGATTTTGCCTTTAGCCACCCCCAGAACTGTTCTGCAGGCACTCACACATACTTCAAGGGTGGTTACGACGATTAAATGAGATCATGTGTGTGATCTTTGCTTGGCATAAAGAACATAATAGCTTTTGTGATTAATAATGAAGACTCAATTGCAAAATTCAACAGGCCCTGAAACTCTCTCCCTCTCTGATTTTCCCCTGTGATTCTGTGGTTCTTTCTGCTCTCCCTCAGTTCTGTGGGCTGCCTCCTCTCACTAGGCCTGCCTCCAGTGCTCCTCACATTCTTATACTCCACCCTGGGAGGATGCCAGAGTGAGAAGAAAAATTTGCTTTGACCTTTAAATACATAGTTCCAGGTCTCTCCAAGCCCCCGTCTGCTCTGCCACAATTGCACCCTCTTCCCCTTTGAAGCCATCCCTTGGACTCCAACAGAGTGCATACCTCTATTGCTCCTTCACTGTTCTGTCCTGGACATCGTCCTTCCTTTGTGGAAGCTGTGTTGTGGGTGCCAGGGCTGATGGCAAGTCCCCGAGGGCCAACATTACTTCTTCCTGGGTGTATGCGTGCTCCCTCCCCTGTGCTTCTGCTTTCTGATTTGAACCACAAGTATAAACCCATCATTCCTGTCTCACAGGGTGTTTGTGAAGAAATCACCAGACAGTCCATGTCAAGAGAGTAGTACAGTGCCCAGCACATAGCAAATGCTTAAGGAGAGTCTGCTATGAGCTGAGGGAATCACCTGTATGTTTTTGTCCAAAAGGGAGGTCAAGCCATACCCATGTTTATACTTTAGTGACCAGCCATTACATTCAGAATAAACATAGTAATAGGAGATGTTAAGCAGATGGAATAATCCCTAGCTGGGATTCTCAGCTGTAATTGCGAGACTGGAAAAGAAAGTATGGATGGAAGCCAGTCAACGGAATACCTGTAGCAGCCAAATCCTGGACCAGAAGTGGCTCACTGGCAGCAAACCTATACCCAAGAAGATGGAGGAAGGAATGAAACTGATGAGGCCAGCAGCATCATGTCCAGGAATGGCAGGTAAGTGGCACCCTTTTCAGACCCTTTGGGTGACCTCCTGTAAGTTGAATTGAGAGCAAATTGATTTGGGGTAATAGATCCTGCATCAGAACACCTGGAGATGCTATCCTGTGATACTTCAAGACCATAGCACAATGCTTCCTTTATCAAAGGCCACAGAATCTCAGATCTGGATGGATGAGGTTGTCTCAGAATGATGGCATTTTTAATGCCTTCCCCAGAAAAGGAATAAATCATGGGATTCATCATCTCAGTCAAGCATCTGGCTTTCTTGGTATATGGAGAATTTGCAGCTATTGAGAAAGAGGAACTTCAGAATTAAATATAATGGTGGTACAAATGCATTGTGTCCGATTTCTTAGTGAGTTTGGTTAATAAAATTTACTTTACATTTTAATAATAGGAACTTCCTATTTTATGCTAGAGAGTAAGTGTTATTGTTACAGCCAACCACTAAATCAGATGACACTTACAATTGTTCTCTTTCTCTAAACATAAGAAGAGTTAAAGAAAGACATTTATATAATTAAAAATAACATCAAACACAAATTTGGAATTTTAGTAAATTATGTTGAGTTGAGCTCTACTTTTGACTGAAAGTTCATGTGCATGTATATGTGTATTATGTATTATGCATGTCTTCATTAGCTCTCTTAAGCATTATATACATTTATTTTCTAAAAACTTCCCATCAACAATTATTATTGAATACTTAAGTAAGGCTGCATTAGCAGTTGTGGGGCAAATATATAAGGAGAATGTGTCTTAGGCTTGGAGGAGTTTACCTTCTAGTAGGTGAACCAAAAAAACCCCATATGGGACAATTAACAAATAATGGGAGAAGTATTAATACAGTATTCAACCATGTTCTCCAGACTCTGTCACAATTTGCTGTGTCAGATGAAAGGAGGAGATCAATGGGAGAGTAACCAGAGAAGATTGCCTGGAAAAATGGGTAGGATTTTAGACAAAGCAGATATAAAGGCCTTGTAATTTAAGAAAGAGTAATAATAAAAGATAAATCACAAAAGTGAGAATGAGCTTGCCATGTTAATACGGTGGTGTCTGTTGGGATATATGCTGACCTGATTTGCAGAGAGTATGTATGTATGCTGGGAAATAGAGATGGCATAGAGGGTATTTTATGGAGAAACTTGAACTAGACCAAGAGGGAACTACGGAACCATAGAAAGTTTCTGAGAAGAGAAGGCTATCTCCTGGTCAAAAATCTCCAAAATGGTCTGGAAAGTTTTAATAAGTAATAAATTTCCTGCCTTTGTAATTATATAAGCATAAGGTAGATAACAACTTGGAGAAATTCTAGAGCTGATTCAAATACCAGAAGATTGATTGAAGGTATTTAAAGCTTTATTAATTGCAAACTTATTTGGCAGCAAGTAATATATATATGTAATAATAATAATAATATGTATATATCTGATTCATACTGGCTTAAACATACAGGATTTATTTTCCCAACTGTTGTAAGAAGTTAGCAGTTAAGGAGCTGCTGGTATTTGTTCAGTGGCTTGACGATATCATTACTAGTGTTTATGTGACTCACCGACCATTTCCACCTCTCTTGCTGTCTCTGGTTTACCAAATAGCTCCTGCAACTCCAGCCATCAAGTCCTTGCTCAGGAAAAGAGGAGGAAAAGGGAAGCACCAACTATATCTTTTCCTTTTCACTAGGAAAAGCAGAAGCTCCTTGAGCCCTGGCAGTTCTCTCTTATATTCAACGGTCAAAATTTTATGGTCACCTCTACTTGCAAGGGAGACTAGGAAATCAAGTATTTTGTCTGGGTCTCAGCACACTGACCCTGCAAATAGAATTTGAGTACAGTTTTCAAGGAAGAAGAGGCAATGGAAAATGTTAAGTAACAGGGTCTTTTCAAGGACCCTTCCATTGTTGAGAGTCTATGAATCTTCAGTCCATTTATTAGTTATTTCTATTCTGCCTGTAAACTTGTTTTTCCCCATTCTAAAAACAAAAACATCAAAACTATTTTCCTTGTTTGTGTCACAAACTATCATCCTATCACTTTCTTTTATTTGCACTCTGAACACCTTTAAAAAGTAGTCTACACCTGACATTTCACTTTCTCACTACCTATAATCTTATCACTTCGATTTCTTACCATCTGCAATATTATCTTTGTATTCTACTGAAATTGTTCTTGCATTAGCACTCAACTTCTCACCACCAATCCGACACGTCCCCACCATCATGTGCCAAGTCTTTATCCTTATTTATCTTTAACTGTTTGACATTATTTACCACCTCTTCTGGAAACTCTCTTCCTTTTTTATGTATATGATACTGTTCTGGTTACTTCCTATCTCTTTGATTATTCCTATCTTTTTTCATTCACTCAACCAATATTTAGTGTCTACTGTGTCCTTGGTGCTTGATTTGGGGTTGAGAATACAAAGATGAAATGGTCCCAGTCCTCTGAAATCTCAGTCTATTCAGCAAATAGAAATATTACCATTTGAGAAAACTTATGATAATTTTAATGGCTAAGTAAGGCAGGAAGTGATGCATGGAGGAGATGATGCTTGCACTGAGATCTTAGAGTTAAGTAGGTGGGTTTGCAGGACTATTTCAGAAAGGATATTGCAGGCAGAAGT